GCAGGCGGCCCGCCTCCTCGTTGAGGGCGGACTCGGGGTTGGGGTGGATCAGCAGGCACTTGATGGTCTGTGGGGAGAGAGCCCGGGGTCAGGGGGGCCAGACGCCAAAACGCCCAACCTGAGTGATGGGGACAGTCCAGGACCCACACCTGGACCTGTTGGACTCAAGCTCCTTTTACAGAACCATAGGAAGGCGGGTGAGCCAGAGCTGTCACTGGGGGAGCAGGAACCCCAGGTGCAGTCACAGACTCGGGCTGGGCAGCACCACACCCGACGGGCACCAGGATGTATGGGGCCCCTCCACCTCCTCTAAAAGGGAGCAGGTGCCCTGACCTGTCTGGCCTGTCACGGGGCCAGCACCTGGCCCAGCAGACATCCCTGCCACAAGCAGGCCCCCAGGCCTGACCCTCACCTGACCACTGCGCCCCAAGCCCAAGGCCCTGGTGGCTGCCTTCCAGCCAAGCCTGACCCGGCAGGCACCGCGCCCTGGGGGTCACCAGTGTCCCCTGGCAGCCAGCACTGACACTAGGGAGGAGGGAAGGGCTGGAGGTCTGTTTACCTTGGAGCTCACTCCTCCCTCAAGCCCTGCAGGAACCCAACTCCCTGCCCTCCCAACCACCTGCCCCAGGGGCTCATTAAATTCAGTTTGCAAATTCTTAGGCTTGAGGGGTAGGGGGGCAGCAGGCCTGCAGGCCCTGGGAGCAGGGTGAAGTCCAGGGCACCTCCATCTTGGCCTGCCTATCGCTGGGCCCCCCCCACCCCCACTCCATGATTACACATGTCCCCAGAGGGGCACCCTTGGCTCAGAAAGGATGTTCTGTGAGATCGTTCTGGAATGACAGGCAACTGCACAAACTTTGTGGCTACTGAACAGCCAGCCGACTGTGCCCTGCAGAACAGTCACATCTCGTCCCTCACCATCACCATTCACCACGAGTGCCCCGGGCCAGAACACCCTGGACAGCGTACGTGTCCTGGGCCCCCCGGGCAGGGCCAACGCCTCCCTTTTCCAGAAAAGCTGGAGCCTGGGTTTCCCACGTGGGCCTCCCACCACCAGAGCTGACTTCAGAGAAGCCACACTCGGCCGTCACGGGCGCCGGGACTCACCAGCAGCACGTGCCGGATGCCCAGCTCAGCCGTCCAGTCCCTCTTGAGCACGTTGACGCAGATCTCGCCGTTGGCGCCCACGTTCGGGTGGAAGATCTTGGTCAGGAAGTAGCCCTTGGGCGGGGAGGCAGGAAAGTCCTTCCCCAGCAGGAGTTTCATGCGGAACAGGCCTCCGGCGTACGGGGTCCCCTCTGTGTGTGGGGAGGGGCCAGGTCAGGGGCACAGGACTCCCAGCACCCGCAAACCCCCAAAGCCCTGTCTCCACGTTCCGGCTGTAATGCAAGTCCCCGGCCGCCTCCTCCAGACTGGGGAGGACGGGCTAGGCTCCCCGGGGTCACAGGCACCCTCGTGCGTTAGCCCCTGACCGTGGCCCCACTGGCATCACCCCAAGTGCTGGTCTGCACCCTGGACACCTCTCCTCTCCCAGGTGAAGCCCCAGCCCCACTCCCTTCCAAGAGGCAGCGACACACCCACTTGTGCTCCTAGGAAAACGTCTACCTGGAAGCCCTGAGGCCAAGTGACAGACAAGGCTCTCGGCCTCGCACTTGACCAGCCAAAACGCCGGGGGTGTTGGAGACCCAGGGCCTTCCTGTGCCCAGTCCCAACATCTGCCCCCTCCGCACCGGGCAGCCGCCTCCAGGGCCACCCACTGTCCCCACCACCGGGTGCCCGCAGTGGCCGCCCGCCTCCAGCTGTAGTCTACCCCCCTCCCACCCCCAATGGTCACAGTGAGCTCTGCTTCACACCCACCAACAGCTTCCCCTCCGAATCCCTACAGAGGCCCCAAAAGGTCTGCTCCCTGAATGCTTCATGGGTTCTTTGCTTCCAGGAAGTGCCCACTGCCCCCCACTCATGAAGCACAGCAGGGATCACCTCCACTGTGGCCCCCGTCCCCCACCCCCACCCCTGGTGCCCACTCCCGACTGGGCTCTTCACCACCTTCTTGCAGTGCCTCAGCTTCCCCTGTGGAAGTTAGTAACAGAAGGCAGTGCACCTGGAACACCGCGGCAGGTCTGCACGATGGACCATTACATGTGGTCCATTACACCCGATACTGGGACCTCCCCACGCCTGTCCCCGACGTGGACAGCAGCACGGAATCAGGTCCCAGCCAAGCCCACCCTCCAGACTGTGCTGCTGGCTCACCCCCGGGGTAGCCTCTTGCCACCCCCTGAAGGTCCCAGGGTGCCTTGCCTGCCAGCTTTGCTCCTCCCCAGGTAAGGCCCCCCTCGAATGCGCCCGTGGCCACCAGGCCGTCCCCGCGGCTTACAGAAGAGCACACGGTTACCTGTCACCTGTGATGCTCTGCCCTGCAGACCGGGCACCTGCAGAGGAAGAGGCTGCCTGTCCGTCTGCCATTAGGTCCCCAGCAGCTGACAGAGTCCAGTGAACAATGGGCCTTCCTCCTCTCGTCCCACAGAAGGAAAGTCTAGCAAGCGCGCCCTCCCTGCTCCACCCCACACTCACCAGGGCCCTCGATGGTGACCTGCAGGTCCGTGAGGTCCTCTTCGTTGGGAAAGACCTTGATGCCATCCGGAGGGTCCGTGGTCAGCGTCGTCACCTCCTTGTACACCAGGCGGATGATGTGGGGGGGCAGGTTCTCCACGTTGGAGTTCTGGGCACAGAGAGGAGGAGGTGAGAGGCCGGCAGAACCGGGCCGTGCAGGACGCTGACCCAGGCTGTCAACTACCCCGGGCTCGCAGGCCCCCTCCTGGGGAGCTGCACCCGGCCGCCCCAGGCTGAGCGCCCTCCGCAGACGAAGGCGCTTCTCCGAGGGGGGTGGCGGGTAGCTCCATGCCCCCCAGGAGCCCCCGAAGCCCGTCCGTTGCCCCGCACGGGCCGCCAATGATTCC